AATGTGTTTTTTGAAAAATACGACATACTTCGATTTTTTCGTATTTTCCGACCTGAAAAAGATATTTGTGTAAGGTAAAAAGTTGTTTTTCGCGATCAGCAACTCTCACTCTATCAAATGATGTAAAAAAAACGGCAAAATAAATTTTTACTTGAAGTTTGAATTGCCTGCACCTTAACTTCTGAGTTAATAAATAATAAATTTAACACCCAAGTTTAATTCAAGTTTCATAAGTGTCTGATTTATGAAACTGGGTTTATGAAGACAGGATATCCCACCGTTTTCAATTCGTCTCTTAAGTCAATATTTTGACATTATCAAATCAAATCGATGTTGATTTTGGATGATGTTTCTGTCATATTTCGAATGCCTGTTTGATGTTCTTTTAGACGTATCGCTTCTTCCTACCCAGTTTCCTCATAATATTCTTTACCTTTTTCATTCTTTATTTTTCAGCCTGAAACTATTCTTCGACGTACAGTACTCGCAAAAGTAGCGAGTCCCCTGTAGCTCAAGAACTATGATAGCTAGGGATTTTCAATTCTGTGTGTTCATAGCTCTTACCGAATACTGAGCACCCATTAAGTTTGAGCCTATTTTACTAGATGGTGAGTCTGAAGTCGAATTGATGTTCTTAGAATGAGTTATGCATTTTTCTTGGAAAGGTCCTCATATCTCAGAACCTCATTTTCAAACACCTCGATCGTAAAATAGCTGTCTTTCAGTAACTATTAACAGCTACCATTCTAAATGCATATTGTAGATAGAAGAGAATCAGGACTACATTTTGGTAAAAAGGAAAAGTTTTCATCTCTCTTGCATCAGCATTCGGTAAGAGCTATGACCACACAAAATTAGAAGTCCCTAGCTATCGTAGTCCTTGAGCTACTCGTTACTTAAGCGGAATACTGTATGATCGATCATATGTTCCTTTTAGTTCCTTTGTTCTATACTCACATTTACAGTAGAACTATCGAGTTTGACACTGTTTTCCTTGTCTTGATTTTACATAACAGATACCAGTTAAATATTGTATCTGTGTTAAATATCGTAAATCGGCTTGTCCACGTAACCCGACACTTGGCAGATGAAGTTTTTGAAAAAATTATTTTAGAGTAGAACTGAAAGGATCACATCACTAGATGCAGTTTTTTGATGATGATTACGAATCTCACATTATTTATTTAAAAAGTTAAATTTTTGCGCCCAAAATCCAGTTTTACGTTTTCTGAAAACTGTAATTTCAGCTTCCTCACCTAGACACTTTTCCTAACAAAGTAGAGGGCCACACTATTCGATATAGAATTCGGTTCTTTACAAGATGGGATAGTTATTTTGAAGTTTAGACTCAAAACAAGCTTTCTAATAGGTTTTAACTTTTGAGATTCTCAGACAATTCAAAGGGAGTGAAGACATTTTTTGACGTTATTTTCACGTTAGTCTATAGCAGATGCCTAAAACTACGTCCGATATGAAAATCAAATCCTTTGAGCAATGTTTAGTGCTCCAAAATTTGTTGAGAAAAAAATGTGTTACAGCGTTACCGAAAATGTCGCAGCGTTACTTTAGTAAATTGGGTTTTACAAACAAAGTAAAGGGTTCTGAAAAAAAAATTTTTAGCAAAAGAAAGCTCGTTAGCTCCTCTATAAAAGTTGCTCAAAACACTTTTTATTAGCTCTTCTAAATTCGCAGAAATTTGCACTTTAATGAGGAGTAGTTAGAATTTAGGGCCTTTTTATGTCACAGCGTTACCGGTCTAAAAAGGTTTTCTGGAAGCCCGAGTCTTTAAGCAAAAGTCTTCGTTTTTTACATTGAAAGTAGAGTAAGACTAGCCGCATCGAATGGCGCAAAACCGACCTTTCCAGCTCTTGTAGTTTTCGAAAAAATCTCAAATTGCTGGGCAAAAATGTCACAGCGTTACCTTTGCACAAGCCGAAATCTGCTGTTGTAACAGATTTATATTTTGACACTAAGTTTTTGACTTATCTTCGTATCTTTGGATAACTACATCATACCATCCGTTCCTTTCATATTTAATAAATCAGGCCGTGTAAGATTTTATCAATGTTGAGTCGAGACTTGTTTATATTGTTTCACAGATTTCTATTGCTTTGAGATATCCGTCATTGGCATCCTCATAACATTTTTCGTGTACGGTTTCTAAATCTGCATATTTTATACGTATATCTTCTTCTGTAAAGCGTCGCTTTACTGCATCAGATAATCATTTTCCTGGTGTTTCAGATAAATCATAAACCGATTTAAAAAATATCTTTTCTTTATCGTAATCTCTTTTAACACATAGCCAATGTTACATTGAATGATTGCAAAATGCTTTCGGGTCATGTACGGCTCACGTAATAGCGTTCGTTCAGCCTCACTAAATCGTTGAAACGCTTCATCTAAATAGGACAACTTAATGTATGCATCGCCAATATCATTATGTATTTCCCCTAATGCATTAGTATTCGAATAATCGAGTCTTGCTTGATGACTTAACGCTTGTTTGTAATAGTTTAGTGCATCACCATATAAACCTGGTCGAGAGTGTATCATCTCCAAACAGTTGTAAACAGATGCAATTGATGGATCATTATTTAGTATACTTGTCTCTAATAATGATTTTAAATATTTTTTAATAGCACGATATTCACCTAATTCGACTAAATATCTTCCCAACAACACGGATAAATCGGACTGCAAACATTTTTTAACTTTTAATCTCATTTCATTTACTATTGTTTTGCCTAAATCACAAGTCAATAGTGTAATATGATAATAATTTTCATCTCCAACCGGTTCCTCAATTTTATCAACAGAAAATACAGAGCCCATAGTAAACGGAAGAAAGCGAATCATTAAGTTTCCTTTTTGGAATCATGGAAGTAAGTCTTCTACTAAAACTAATCAGATATTAGTAATCAGGAGATAAAACTGAATCGAATAGCGACCTCCACGGCCATTCTCTCACTAGAACTTTTTGATCGTATTTAGTATCCTTCGAATCGTTTCTAAAGTATAGGATATTTTCTTTCCAAGACGAACAAAATTTGCCTGAATTTGTTTCTTCGATAGTCGATCATCTTTGGCTGTTAATTGATACATAGAAGGATTTTGATACTTGTGACAACACACGAACGTCTCTGCCCATGTGCTCAATACCGTCGGTATACCACCAGTATACAGTGCGGTTAACTGCCGAAATACCGGCGGTATTCGCTAGATTTTTCGGTATTACGGCATTGATTAATGGTTTACTGCTATATTGGACACTAAAAGTGATGGTAAACTGTTTTCACTGACCAAACTGACCGACCGACCGACCAATTTTCATTCATTGGTTAAAAACTATTAAGTGAGAAATGCGCTTTGTAAATGCAAAAGTTCAGTGTTCTAAAAGATTCTCTTGAGTAAGAAGACGTGTAACTGATAAACAAATCAACAGAAGACATTCTATTTCGAAAGGAGCAGAGACAGAGCGTGACAGATGGCGCACCAAATCGAATGTTCAGATAAATAGCTTTGACATCTGTGAATAAATCGACCAAACAATCTATTTCTGTCAATTTTTGTTAGCTTTCAGAGAAAGATAATTCAATTATACCTGGTTACTATCAGGTATTAACAGCCCACACAGTTTATTCAAATCGGCTTATAGGATAGCTACGTACAAGTTATAACATCCTGACTAATTTGTTTATTTATTCACCTATCTGTAGGAGAACTTCAGAATAAATTTGTAAAAATATTCTGAAATTTTTGGTTGCTAATCAAACTCGCGTTTACTCGAGTTTTTCAACAACTGGTTTCTTTTCTGAGGCAGCTACTTTCTTTTAACTGCAATATCAGTGCACATGCATATGGTAGCTCGATGTTGATATATAAGATTTCAAAAGAAAAGGTTCAGAATTACTCTTTATTCAGTTTGAAACACAACTTTGGCAGTTAACCCGCCGAAGAAGGCAGACATGGTAAAAATATTGTCAAACAAACAACATGCACTTC